AAACTTCATTCAATGAAAAGCTTACAAAACAACTAAGTAAATTAATGCTATAGTAGTTGTCCTAAAAAAAATAATTAAGGGGAATCTAAGTGCACTCAATGCCCTGCAATGAACTGGTGACCTGTAGCTGGCAATGGAGAAGAAGGAGCATTTGAGATCCACTTAGCTTAATTTCTACTGTTATCTTGCTATTTTAAAGAGTAAAGTAAACTTCAAGGGACTATGCAGGCATTCAAATGATTTATTTATTTATTTTTTTACCATTGCAGGCCGTCTTTGTTCTTAGTTGGAAATCAGCAGTCAACTGAAAGACAAATATAGAACAAGGTGTTTATACGTGACTGCATGTTGATGATGTTGTATTTTGGTTTCCTGTCATGTAAGTGTGAACAGACACATTGCACATGTCTGTGACTACACACGGGACACTGCCTTGATTATCAGGGTGTGTGTGCTCGTCTAAAGCAGTGCCACAGATGAAGAGCATGCGTGCGTGCGTGCGTGCGTGCGTGCGTGCGTGCGTGCGTGCGTGCGTGCGTGCGTGTGCGTGTGCATATGAATGCCAAAAGAGAAAATCCTCAGCATGGCCCCACAGAGACAGGCAGAGTTTAGACTTTGGGTGGTCCGTTTTGTTTCTTCTACTCTGCTAGTAGAAGTTTATAATGCTTTTCTCTTGGAGAGTCAAAACGTCCTTGTACTTTACACGTCAACGTGTTTCTAATGCATCTGCCTCTGTGGAGTCAGTCAAATATTTTCCTCAGGGTTATAACAACTACACACAGTTTCCGCAGCATAGGAAGGATTTTCACCTCGACTTTAAGTTCAGCTCACATCACTGCAGGCGCTCGACCTTGAACTAACCTTCTGCAAACATGCAAAACTCTGTGCCAAACACATAACCTCTAAGAGTTCAAGAGGAAGGATTTGATTTGATCCTTTTCATTTTTAAAATATCAAGCTTCTCCAAAACTCTTTAAGCAGAAGCAATGAGGAACCGCGCTACTGCTAAGACAGAGCATAAAGCAAATATATTATTAAAGGCAAATGCCAGACTCTTCTGCAGAATAAATCAAACTCACTTCAGACAGTTGGCCACATAAAAACAAAATTCATTGGGATTTTTTTTCAGAATGCTTCTGATGACATCCCAAAAGACACCTGCTCAGACTTCTTTAATTTACATTCATTTTTATTTAGCAGTTTTTCCTCTTTTTCCACGTATTTTATTGATATTGACCCTTCAAATATATTAATCTTACTACTAAACACTGATCTGATAATCTGCATTTAAAAAACACATACAAAAAAAAAAGAAAAAACAAAGTAGAATGATCCAAAAAAACAGCGCCATTAGAGCGCGAGGAAAATACTTGTGGTTGCAACATCGTGTCACGACCAAAACAACTTCCAAAGGAATAGTATAGAAAAGGAAAAGGGACATGCTGGGAATGTTTGTACCAAGGCACAGCTATTCACAAATACATGTTTGATACAGATTGCAGCAGGCTTCTTTAGATTTAATTAATCTTTTCAACATGCCTCAAAGGATCCTTTTTGGAGAAATGAGCACAACTTGTGACAGGATGAAATCATGGCCGTTTCATGTACATATAAGCAGTCTGAAGCTCAAACATATGTTGTGGAAGGGGTTGGAGGGTCAACACCGCTTGTCTAGCCTAATAACATACTTAATCCATCAAGGTGCCCTCGCATGAAGCGCTGAGGGGCTTCAACCACTAAAGGCACATTTACTGAAACAGCAAAATGAAGGCTTTACAGATTAGGCAGCATAAAGAACAGAGAAGGTTGTGAATTTGATTTGTGATTATCATAAATAATCCCCCTACAATTTTGGGGGTTTAAATTTTAAAGCAAAGGAGTTTCTTTGACAAACAATCTTAACAATTAAAGCAAAGATGAATGAATTAATTACAAATATGAAAAAAGACTTGTTCTTAAAGAAACAAAATGAAATGCAAATACGCAGACGTGTCTTGCCGAAGAACAACACAACTGAGACAGACCGAGCAGGAGATCGAACTGGCAACCTTCCTCCTGTCGCCACCATTGTACCTCTTACTACATATGATTGAAATGAGGGATTTTGAGAAATCAGCTGAGAGACGTTCATAATTTTAATTTGTTCGGTCATTAAAAAATAAAATTATGATTGACATATCGCTAAGCATCGACATTAACATGCACTGCAAAACCTTTACAGTAAGATGAAAAACGTCTGCATAACGTACTGACATATTAAAATAATTGTTCTGTGATATTGCTGTGATTAATATTTTCTTAATTTCCCAGGTAAAAATGTCCAAATCTTAACTAATTGAACAAGGGATAACATTTACTTCTTAATAAAAAAAATGAAAGTGAATCCATCACTGCCATCCCAAAAGCAATATAAACAATTTCTTGTAAAGATGAGGCTTGGTCAACTCATAAGCACAGATAATGTATCTTTATATTTTAATTAAATGGAAGATAAGTTTTTATACTGGGTGCGCTGAAGCTTCACTCCGTACAATCATCTTTTGTTGCTGCACGTTTTAGTGACACTGAAAGGTTACAGCTGCTCTTCGGCATTTCTCTGAAACAGGAAAATAGTTTGGCAACTGCTCCCAGGGTAAAATCCAAAAGTAAACATTTCAACAACTTTTTAAACACAACGGATTTGTACAGTTGTTTTAGCTGCCAGAAAAGCAAGTAAAACTCCGGCTTAAACATTTCCTACAGTCGTTCTTATTCACGCTGGCAGTGCTGCTGTGAGCGAACTTGTTAAAAAAAAAAAAAAAAAAACACACACACACAAGAGAGGGATTCTCTTGTGCCAGAGCAGCGACACTCACATCATCACACACCCGCTCCCTGATTGACGCACACACCATGGCGTCTGACCTGTCCGCCTGTCAGCACACCAAAAGGCTTCTTTGTCCTTTGATAACCCTTGTCCAGCCGCCTCTACAGGAGGCTGTCTCTCTAACAAGTCTAACCCATGGCAGGAACTCTGAGCCAGGGGCAGAGAGCAGAACAATGCCCTCTCTCCTGGAGGAGGCACCCTCACACAGGGAGCTCTAATGAAATCCATGTCTCCAACAGCCTTTCCCAACCTTTTAACAACCCTTCTCTCTTTGCCCCCCTTCGTTCGTTGGCTTTTTCTTCTGATATTTCCTGTGACTAAAATGTGAGTTTTGTGAAGGAATTGACAATATTTAGAGCTTAATCTTTCAGCTTTCACTCTCAACAACATGCCTGAAGGCAAAAGGTTCAATTTTTGCTTAAGGAAAATCTTTCACATAATGAACTCTTCCTCTATCCTGCATGCGAGTTATCAGAAACAAGACATTAAGCATGCTTTTGGCACAAAGAAAGGAGGGCCCTTTAAATCATCTAGCCTTCTGGAATCGAGTAAGACGAATTTCCTGGGCTGTAAAGCAGAAAGAAAAATGGAAAGGGAAGCTGAATTTTTTGAAGGAAAAAAAAAAAGACCTGCAAAAAGGAGAAGGAAGAAAAGCAGACCGAAATGACAGGGAAATGCTGACCTCTGTGAGTGTGCGATGAGTTGTGAGGAGTGAAAGTAGCCAAATCATAAAGAAAAAAAGAAAAAAAGAAAAAAGAGTACTGTCTACAGTCTGCATCCGCTGTGGAAATCTGTCTGGACCGGTCACCGCACAGAAAATGCCGAAATATCCATGAATAACATTCCTCAACTTACAACTTGTTGAAAGATTATTCTTCCTTAAGTATATACTGTATTAAATGCATTTTATAACTGAACATAAAATTAAGCAGGCGTAGCGAAAGCTCAAATTATACAACTGATGTCATGTTATGCTGATGATCCGGATAATAATCTCAATCTGAAAGTTAGATTAGCATATTTCCTGCCACCTTCTTTTCCTAAATATATACATTTCTGCACATCTCAATCCTTCCTTTTTCAAAAACTCTTACTTCATATACTCTCAACTTCCTCCCAAACTAACTTGTCAGTGATGGAGGCCTTCGTGTTTAATGTCTCTGTCAACACTTTAAAAGAGCTGTGGTGTTGTGAAAAATGAGCCAGAGCACATTGTAAAAGGGAGGTGATTTCCCCTGAGCCGCTTGTAATTGCTTCAAGCTTGGACCAGACAGGACAAAACCTGGAGGCCTGGCGCAGGAGGTTGGACAGGAAATGGTTTGGATTCAGCCGCTGAGGCAGCATGCTGGGATCTAGAAGAATGACATATTTACAATGGCAATCCCACTAAACGCCAAACTGAAAACTATACGTAAGGGAGACAAAGAAGGCAATAGGAGGCATAAAAAAAAAAAAAAATATGCATTTTGTTTTTGTCTGCCATTGGTTTCCTTTTGTTCGTTCTAATTCTGGGTCCATGTTCCCTAAGCTCCCAGTGGTCTGGTTCTTATCTTGGGGGTCAATCTGATGGTGCAGCCCCCAACCTGCATTCATACACAGGCTTTGAAGATCTGCTTTGAATCAAAAGGCCGAGACTCTCTCAGTCTCTTGTCATGCTTGGATTGAAAACATAAGTGTTCATGCTCATTTGCCAGCACGGCAGTATAACTGTCCACAAACATATTTAGAAACTTTTTATGCTCCCACGTGCACAACTGCAAAAATTCCCACTAGAAACATTTTTGACAAGCAAAATATGCTGATATATGGACATGATGGTGCACCGTTTGCAGTTTTCTCGTCGATCTCTGATTTTTAAAATACCTGACCTGCTGATTAGTTTGGCCTATACCAACTTTTATATATATATATATATATATATATATAAAACTGACAATTTCAAGTGTTATTACGTCACAATACACCTTCAATGTTCCAATTGTATTGTATTTAAAGACATCAATCAAATAATACCTGTAAAACAATACAAACTTGACCTGAGGAATTACTCTCAAATATAAGTAAAACATTTTGAGAATTATTGTCCAAACTATTAAAATCAGTTTTTCTAGAGTTATATATTTTTTATTTTAAAACTCAAACAATACTTACATAACAGGTTAGACTACAGCAATGCTTAGAGCATCTACAGGAGCACACAGTGCACCTTTAAATGTGACGTGGTGGGCGGGTCTGTCAGTCAGACCGCTCTAACGGTGGAGCAAAAGAGAACAGTGGCTGATTTTTAGACTGTAGTAAAAGTAAATATCGGTGGATAAGATTGGTTTGACATGCAAGTATTGGAAAATCACCAACCACCCAGAAGTAATGAAATCAGGGCGAATCAATCATGGCACCAATATCGTCAAAAGGATCTGCTAAATCTAAACATAATAAAATGAGCAGATTCACAAGCCAGAGTTCCCGTAAACTGAACAATTTTTAATTCTATGCTTTTCCACACTCAAATTTCAACAGTCTTAAACTTTTTCATGTTACACAAATCGGGGAAATCTTGAAAACTCAATTTTTTTCAGAATCACCTCTATCAAAGAATCAGAAAAAAAAAAATCTTTTTTTTTAAATGTTTCAGAAAAAAGTCGCACAGGTCAAGAGTCAAAGAAAACTGGAAATCTGAATCAGTCAGAAGAGCCTGATCGGTAGGTCGTTAAAAGAGAAAAAGATCTCATCTTCAGTATCATCTGTAGATGTTTGTTTCAACACAAATGGCCCTTGAGAGTGAACCTGGCATTACTAATTAAACCGTTAGCCCCAGGCTAAGATGATCACTTCTCAAATAGCCCATCTGTCTCATTAACTCTGAATTCCTTGATAACCAAAGAGAGACCCGTTGGACCACCAGCAGAAGATCTTGTTGCTCAGAAAGAAAGCAGGTGAAAGATGGGGGAGACTTCTTTTTCCAAGCAACGCTTTCCATTTTTGCCCAGACCCTGGGACCCTCCTTTGCCATCTTTTTGTCTCCTCCCTCTTCTCCTATGCAGTTCCACATTTTCTCCTTTCTTCAAACTGGGATTAGCTCAGCAGGACACCAGCATTCCTTCTCTACTGGTAGCCTTTGTCTCGACATTCCCACTCCTCCCAGTGTCATCTACAGCTCTGCACCCAACACACAAAAAAACGAAGTCTTTAACAGAAGGAGAGAATATTTCATCTAAATTTGTTGACCACATTCAGCTACTACTAAAACTAAGGAATCTGAGCTGCTTCCACATGTTAAAGTGGATTTCAGATTCCAGAAAAGTGTGGCCTTGAAGGTAGCTTTGATGTGAAGTCTGTTTTACACTGCCGGCTACCTGTTGTGAGGTTTTACACAGGGGTGAGATAACTGATACAGTCACAAATGCAAACAGAGCACAGGGGTTTATCTGCTCTCCATGCTGCCGGGCCCCTGCAGGAGAGGTCAGTATATTGTTACAGCCATGTGCTAATCCTATTACTTCAATTTCTGTGTTTATATTTAACTTAGATTAAAAGTTTAGTCAACATGCCCCATCGGTTTTTGGAAGTTCTACCCATAATTGGCTTTAATAACCACACATCACATCAAATTTCAGAGCGCTAAAAGGTTATTTGAGGCATTTTTCAAATACAACGGAGTAATCTTTACCAAATAAAACATTTCATAGCTCACTAATTGGACCCACCTCTATAAAAGCATGCGCCTAAAA